GGGCGAGTCTCGAAAAAGTGTAGACTTTTTACGCTTGTAAAAATGTTGATAATTGTGAACGACCCCCAAGGGGAACGACCCTTTGCTTCACAGCAGACTTAATCACCCTGTTTGCCTGCTCGCACAGCGTGACAAATGCTGGGACTCGCGCTATAAATTAGCAGGGTATAATTAGGAGAAAAAACAATTTCAGGAGCTTCAGGTGATGAAGTGCAGGGCATTTTTGGGGGACCTTTTTCAGGAAAAAAGTGTGTCTGGAAAACACGGCAACGAAGATCGTTACTGACACACGTAAGTATGCACGCTAAGAGCGATCGACAGCCACATTGTAATTGCTGCATATCAGGTGGGAAACACATCTCAGACTGACAACGAAAACCAATCTACCCTGATCATCTTACATCAACGAGAGCATCAGTTCTAAGATTCGATGTCAAACAATGACCACCCGCTCACCGCTTTTGCTTCGCTTCTTGTCTTCCTCGCTCTCCGTGATGATCATGCGCCCGTCGGACGCCATCTTGAATTCAGTTTTGCTCTTCTTCTCAACACTGGCTGTGGCCGGCTTCGTGCCTATTCACACACACAAAAACAGTAAACAATTATACGACGATCCATCGCGGCCAGCTACATCACACAATGAGGATACACGTGACCACAACCAAAATAAAGAACAGACTGCGCATTGATACCGACATCACTGGAAAGGTGAATCATGGAAAGGTGATTGATGTCAGAGGTAAAAAGTACGTTAAAAGGTGACGGCTTCATAATAATTACATACACAGTCTGCAATATAATCAATCTGTAATCATCAGTAGTAGCCTGCGGCTCACCCATGACCTTCCTCGCGACCCCCGGATCCAGAAAGTCCACGATGTCTTCCTCTCCCTTGTCCTCGAGCCAGGCAGCCGTCGTCTGCTTCCTCGCCCGCCTCGGCTTCTTTCTCGCGCTGCCCGCCTCCTCCCCCTCCTCCAGCTCAGAATCAGTATCCCGCAGAAGATCGTCAAGGCTACAGGTGCGCGAACGAGAAAACAAACAAACAAACAAACGATGTTGCTGACAATATGCCACCTGTGACCTTTACCGAAGGTCAAAAATGTCATTTTTGTGCGAGTAGTTTACGATTGAACAAAACCCACCCTAAAAGCTCAAGTTGGATGAGTTACGCGTAGTAAATCGTAGGTATTATAAGGCTAGTAAATGACGAATTTCCCTTGTTTATTGATGTCACACTCCTCCCTATTATCTACTCCTGATCTTACATAAATGTCTATTGTTACTGTTAACCCCACTGGCGCCACCTATCGTTTGATAAACGAAACACAGAAATAACCTCATTGCTTGATCTTCAGGCATAAATATCTCGTAGACATTGCCAATAAAAAAGCTATTACACAGCCACACTACTCACAACACATTACACTGATTATAGTACAAAGTTATATGTCTCTTCCACTTACTCAATTTCAGAGTGTTTTTGCATGATTTATCACAAGAATTATTATTATTAATATGTCATATTTATTATAATTATCGTTATATTATTATTGCTTGATCATTACGCTGCCTATACTACAAACCTTGGCTTTGTAGTCCAGTCCACTGGCACTTCTCTGATCTTTGAGAGTCCGCTTTGCCACGGCTATTGGGCGATGTATCCCGGTCCCACCAGCTGCAAGAAATTAATCAGACTGTATTAAAAACATATTTAATTTTATGTAAAAATTTTTTCAATTTCAAATTTTCAAATTTTCATATTTTATGTAAAAATTTATGTGCCGTGATATTTTTGCACTGAAGTCTGTCACGTCTTCGCTGTCATTTATGTATAACGTTTATACTAACATCGATTGTACATTGATTCAAACATACTTCAAGCGCATACATACATACTACATTCGCAATATAAGCATATGCAATATTAGAATCAATTAATTATTAATATTATTATTGTTATAATTATAATTATTACTATTATTCACAGACCCGTGGTGTGTGCATTAATGTGTGTAGCACGTACCCTTGTAGCTCTGCGCCGTCACCTGCCCAGCGTTGTCGTCATCGCTGTCAGCGTCACGCGCGCGCTTCTTGCCACCCTTCCTGCCTGCCGATGACACATCCATTGTCTCCATCATGTCATCAACGTCATCCATGAGCGTCTTTGCAGCTGCAGCGATGAGGGGACGCAGTCATAGTCACGCCTCGAGCCGTAACCACGACACGAGGGACGCGTGCGCTGATCACAACGCGATAACATGCGCACATAACGTAACATGTGTGTAATAGAATAAATGAATCGAGCAAAAACAGCGTTCCTCTTCCATCGTCTCAGGGAAAGTAGTCGCGGTCGTGGCGTAACTATTACAAGAGAGAGGCAGGCGGCGAATCTGCCACGCTATGTAAATATGCGCGTAAACATTCGAGCGGTCATTCTCGTTACGATGATGACATTTATGAGCATCTCGGCTGCAGTGACAAGTGATATTATCTCCTTATGCTTCTGATTACACAATAATCACCACAATAAGAGCGTAGCTAGAGTAAGGGGTCGTTCACAATTATCCACATTTTCACAAGCGTACAAACCGTACGCTGGGGGGGGGGAGAAAGTCAATGCCCGTCGTGCGCTGGGGCCCGCCATACGCTTTCAGCCTTTCCGAAAAATGTCGATCAATTTCCCGCGCCGCGCGCCTCAGCCGGCATCGTGCGCATCCTCACGCCGCGACGCGCCGAGCCTTGGCCGTGCCCCGCGCCCCGCACGGGCCCGCTGAATGAACGAACCGAGCTATAGCTAGCTAGCAGCCGAGTGCAGTGTAAACAACCGGCACGATGGCGGTTTTGCATGTAATTCATATACATGTATCTCTATGTAGAATAGTGTGAAA